TAGCAGCGAAATTTTGCTGATTTTCTTAATTCATTTCCATCCAAGTCCCTCTGCTGCTTTGGCTAAGGTCGATTAGCCTTTACTTTATGATATTGCTTTAAGGGTAGGTGCTTTATCAGTATTCTGGAGCGCATATGGGTAAACGCAGGTAAATCCATCAAAGTCTATGAGCTTTCATCGTTCTTTATATGGTATTCAAAAATGATTGTGATCCAAATGGCTGGTAGCTAAATCTCAATAAATTATTGATAAGTTTTAGGGTAAATTCCTCAAAACTCGTGCCTAGGATACCTTTGATACCGAATCCTTAGTATGTCTGATAAATTAATGTGGGATATCAAGTTACACCGCCTCACCATGCAAATGTTTTAGAATTTTCAATTGATTTTCAAGTAAATGGTGAATGAACTATTCAACCGAATAATAGTAACAGTAAGTCTAGCCTTTGACAGCTCATAAAGGTCAAAATTGGTTAGGTCTATGGCTAAGCCATATTTGGAGCAAAATGAATACTTTTAATTACTTTTACCTTGACTGTCGGCTGTTGGTTCTCTATACCCGTGAATTGTTCTTGAGAGTCGACCCTTTTCTGGGTTTGCGGAGAACCAGGAAGCACAATGGAAAAAGAATGTCCATTTCGGATGGTTAGTGTCGGTAACAACTATCCGTTCAAGAAACCAGTCAGGATGCAATGCTTCTGTTGGCGAAATAGTAATTTTGACAAGAGTTAGCGGGCCAACACAAGGTGCTTGTACCACAAAACGAGTACTGCGGCCTCTCGCGAAGACACCATGCACTGATAAGTCTTTTGACTCTACAAACAAGTCAATACCCTCAGGAAATGCATTTACAAGCTCAATACGTGGAGTAATTCCAGTTCGTCCATAAAGGGAGATCCAGACACGACTATCTGTTCCTGAATTCGCAAAATCACCCGTAACAACAATAATTTCATATACTAAAAATAAATAAACAACGTCCTTTTTCATTTAAAAAAATAGCTACGTTTGCTTAAAGTTAATGAATAAAGATTATAAAAAAAGGAATTTAATTATACAATTTTTATTACTTCTTAATGCAGATATAGATTATGGGACTTTTTTCTATTACATTCGGACATATTACATCATCTTCAAGTAATTATGTAGGCTCTCTTAACCTACAAAATAGTTATGTGCTTTGATCACAATTTTCAAATTAAGAAATTGAGAAGTTAAAAACGAAGGAGAAAGCCTAAGTATAAGGAATTTATAAAATAGTTTGTTAAATAGACATAACCAAATGATAATTAGCATGACAAAATAGGAACCCTTTATGCGTTCACTTAAATTCATAGATAATTTAAATCTGAAGAATAAATTGTGGTATGTGCCCTCTTAAGGTTATTCATTAAATAGCCTGCAAACACTTCATCATTTTGTTACAAGTAAACTATATTTTCTATCAAATCACTGAATTATAAGAGATGCTTACCCTAGGAAGATGCGTCAGAACTAGTGCAAATTTTAACTTGTATTGTATTAATTAAAACATTAAAACATATTAAATTATAAGTGAATTCAGAACACCTTCAAGGAAACAGAATTTTAGTAATAAACTCTATTCTTCTTAAGTTTCACTACAAGCTCCCATGCAATCTATTAAATTTGTATTTGCAATTACGTGTTTTGGTGCTTCGTATGCCAAAAAGTTCCCTTGTAGTCTGTCCATCTTCTTTAAAACAGGAAAGCCAATGGTTACATAAAAACATCCATCTGCGTTTAGAATAATGATGTATGACCTGAATGTTTGCCAGCAACCAACCGTCGCATTCGCGAATGCCATCATTCTAGGTTTCAATAATTAATTAATAAGTCAAAAGTGTTACCTCTACTATCACAGAATGCACTTCTCCTAGATCTTGTGAGAATATAGGAAAGCTGTACGTGGAACCTGGAGCAAAGCAAAAGCCTAGAGATTTGTGCGTTCCTTTCAGCTTCTTGTTCTTGGTAAGTCGTTGTCTCAAGGAGGAACCCCATTCACCTTTCAATGTAATAAAAATCTAAAAATTAAAAATATAATTTTTTTACAGGAGATTTAGTTCCAGCTTTTTTGATATCGGCAGTAGTTACAATGACTTCATAGGAGCTTAATGGACGTTTTGATCTGAAAAGCCCTGAAGTTCGGATAGCAAAATGGTCAACTTCGCAAGAGTTATGAGAACAAGCTAAGTGGGTTCTTTTATTATTAAACCTAGATCCAAATTTTCTTTGGAAATATTCAATCAAATGTGGATCGTTAAAAGCATTGTAGTGTGGTAATCGATTATTAATGTTTAACGAAAAAGGCGGTTGACCACAATATTCAGCTTGTGCATTTGCTATATAAATAATAAGATAAAACAAAACTACTAGAATATGGAGGAGTCAATCTTTTCAATTGGTTATGTAATAGCCGTTTATAGTTTTTATGGCATTCAAAATAATCAACTCCGTGACCATATTCTTGTGAAGTTTCCAGACCTAATGAATATCCCTTCGCAAGAAGCCTTTGATTATGTTGTGTTAAATCCATATTAATTATCCCGTTTAAATGATGATTTTCACAATAAATATATCAGGCTAGCCAGGACGGAAAACTCTGCTTCCATTTTAAAAAAGTGTCAAGGTCGTCAAAAATATTGTTCTATATAACGCAATATATTAAATTAAAAAATTAAATAAAAAGTAAAAGAAAATACTTAAATTTAATTTTTTATGGTTATCTGATTGTTATGATTTGGGAGCATTTTTTGGTTTGTACTCCTTCACATAACACCATGCGATCTAATAAACGTCCCTTTTCTCTACCCAAAGATTCGCGTGAATCAATAAAAAAGAATAGGTTAGGAGTTTAAATGAACATTTTGCAATACGAACGTAGCCCTATGTGTTATCTTACGCGATTTATTTTCTTATATTCCATGTTGCTTCTAAAAAAAATTAAGACCGGGAACTTCCAATGATGATCCAGA